AAAAAAAAAAAAAAAAAAAAAAAAAAAAAAAAAAAAAACCCCAAAAAATTAAACCAAACTCCAGGCCAGGGGCAGGTAGGCATGTGTAGTTGAGTACTAGCCGGTTGGAAATAGGGTTCCTGAGGAGGCCTGTTGGTTAGAGAACTTAACTAAGTTGGTGAATTCTAGGTTCAGAGAGGTCTCAAAAAATAAGATTTACACCTTTGATCCCAGCCCTTGGGAGGCAGAGGCAGGCAGATCTCTGTGAGGCCCATCTATAGAGTGAGCTCCAAGCCAGTCAGGGCAACAGTAAAACCATTGTTTCATAAAACAACAATAAAAGATGGAGAACCTCCATAGGTATACTTGTTTACACACCCCTGTACCCTGAATCCCTACAGATGCTATATAGGCCAGGTGTGGTGGTACATGCCTATAATCCCAGCACTTGGGGCACTGAGGCAGGGCAGTCTGTTTGAGGCCAGCTAATCTTTGTAGAGTTCAAGGCTTAGCCTGGGCTACAAAACCCCCACTCCATGTTTGTGGGTGGTACTTCTTGGATAGCTTCTGTGACCCGTTATGCACAGGGTGTTTACTGAAGGACTGGGTGAGATGGCAACAACAGTGGAAGCGTCTGGATTTATTACTGAGGGCAGTGTTTGAGAAACCAGGTAAATCCAGTGAAGTACAAACCTGTAGGTCATGGTGGCACGTCTTTAATTCCAGCATGAGAGAAGTAGAGGCAGGCAGATCTGTTTGAGATCAGCCTGGTCTACACAGTGAGTTCCAGGCCAGTCTGATCTACACAGAGAAACCCTGTCTTTAAACAACTCCTGTGCACATGGTATCCAGAAAAGCTGTAATAAGGAAGATCCTGGCAAAAACTTTTGTAGAAACAAAGGTCTAAAGCCTTAGCAGTGGGTATGAACATGCAAGTAGGGGCATGGTGTGTGTGTGTGTGTGTGTGTGTGTGTGTGTGTCTGTGTGTGTCTCGGAGGCCACTGTTACCTAGAAGGGAGTTGTAACCAGCTGCAGAGCCTTAGCCAACACAAACTATGTGTAACCTATGCAGGTGCAGTTCAGGATGGCTGGGGACAACTAAGGAAGTCTGTAGGTAATGACTGCTTTGGAACTTGGGGGATATAGAGAAATTCCATTCCTAAATTTCAGCAGACTTTTTATCAGATGTGAAACAAGTCCAATAAGACAACAAATGGCAGGAAAGGACACTGCGTCCTCCTGGAGTGCTGTCTTGGCTCTCCTCTATCTGCAGGTCCCATTTCCCCTATGCCCAGGCCCTCCTGGCTGGGTGGCAGCAAAGGTCAAGGTGTGTTGTCTGTGGAGTGCAGTAACCCAGTCAGCCAGGCCAGGCACCCCCATGCCAGACTCAGTGCTGTTCTCTTCCCGTCAGCTGGATGAGGCTAGCCCAGGATTTGAGGGCTACCCTCTAATGCCACACTGGGAACATCTGAGGAAAGAGTCCTATAAGGACTGCCTGAGCTTTCAAGAGGGTTCTCTGCTAAAGCAACTTAAATTCTGTACCCTGGTTGGGACTTGGGAGCCAAGGCACCAAATTTCTTTTCACCACCCCATGATGCTGCATTAGGAGTTCCCAACCCTTCATGGGGAAGTGAGTGACACTTCCTGGGAACCTGTGATCTGAGTGACAGCAAACAGAGCCAAGAGAAGTGTTCACAAACATTTATTTACACAAAATTCAAGTTACATATGATACAGTCTTTTTACACAGTAGTTTAAACAGACTTGGTTCTCTATTTTTACTACCAAAAGGTAAAGAAAAACACTTAACCATCTACTTCATTTTTTTTTTCTCTTTTGTACAAAGTGAGATCATGCACTTTTAACTTTGAAATCTTTTGCTAAGTGCAAATACTAGATTCTCTCCAGTTTTAAGGCAAATACACCGGGAGTGGCTAGGCAGTTTCTCAGACCAGGAAGCAGCCTGGGCCCCAGAGGTTAGCGTGCCAGCTGTCTTGGGGATCCCTGCTGGCACACAGGTACTGGGAGGGCCACTGAGGACAAGATGCCTTGATGGAGATGGGCAGTAGCAACTGCCTGCCCTGCAGCCACATACAGACTATATTTCCAAGGATATGACCCTGACTTCATTTGCTGAGGGCCAAGGTCTAGGTGGCACCTGTTCTTCCAGCAACTCCAGAAACTTCCAGGTTCACCTGGCCTCTTTGTGGAGTTACGTGATAGGGGTACTGGGTGGACACAGAACTGGGTGTCCAGTCCAGCGGCTCATGAGGCTTGCAGGGGCAGTGCTTGGAATAACCACCCACCCGTGAGGCCTCTGGAGAAATGCAGGGAACACAAATACGCTAATAGTTAAGGTACTTGGAGGATCCTGTCATGCAGCATGTGGCCCATCTTTCCAAGGCACTGTCATTCAGACTAGTAGCACAGTTCAAGTGACCCACAGCAGAGCTCCCGAGGCACCGCTGTGTGCCCCACCCACTCAGGTGACCATGGGCACCTCCCCAGGGACATCTCACTTCCAAGTCTGTATACTCTGTGACCCTGGGGCACCCCACAGCAATCGGAGCACAAGGATAGCTGATACAACTGAGAAACCCATCTGTCTCCAGTCCTGTTCCACAAACAGGTTAGAGGGATACAGAGACCTGGTGTGGACAGGAGGGGATTATAGGCAGTGGGAGCATGGCAGGAACATTCTGACTTTAGGGAGCTGGGGCCTCAGCCTCTGCTTGCTTCCATTGCTAACTAATGAGGGAACAGGTAAGCAGGCAGGAGGGTTGCTGTAACAGATGCAGCAGCCCCAGGAGGCCATCTGCACCCCTAGGGACACCCAAAACACCTTAGAGGAGATGTGGCTCATCCCAGGTTGGTGACAAGTGAGGTCTCCCCCAGAAAAGTGGTAGCCCAGGAGTAAGTGACAACTTTGCAAAAAGGCCCTTTTGTCTAATGTCAAGTGTTAGGATGATTGGCTCTCAGCAGTTGCCAACCCTGGGGAAATACTTTCAACCCAACTTTTCAAGGATGGGGGACAAACTTGAGTAGCCCACAAACAACTTCAGGTCAAACTATGTGAACAGGAGAAGCTACATTGATAACAGAACAGAACTAGTGCCACAGACGAGTCTTGGAGGCCCTTGAACCTGAGTAGGCCTTGGCCCACAAGGGGAGAGAGGCCTGGCCTGGGGGATGCTAGGCCACTTCCCTTGGGGTTTTAATGGTATGCTGGGGAGGGAACATGGCAAATGACTAAAAGGCCTGAGCTTCATGGTCTGGGCCATTGCACCGGCTGCTAAGATGGCACAACCAGGGAGCTGCCCTAACATTGGCCCAGTGACAGTCAGTCAGCACCCAAAGGGTATCAGACCTGAAGGATCAGTGGACCTTGCAAAGGGAAGAACAGAAGGACACCGGCCCACCATCAAGAGGGAAGCCAAGACTCCACCCATACTAAGGTGAGACTGGGTCCTCCTGCAGACCGGGTCCAGTGTGGCTGGACAGGGCTTTGGGTGTCAGAAGCGATGCCGTGGCTGGGGGCCAAAGTGCATGGGCAGGTTATGTTCCAGGGGGACATGCACATGGCCAAAGTCGTAGTTGACTCGCACATTGGGTAGAGGGGGTACGTAGGGTGCTGGCACAGGACCTATGTTGATGGGGAAGTTGTTGAACACGGGCCGCACAGGTGCCAGGGGAAAAGGTGGGTGCACAAAGGCATAGGGTGGCATGTGGGGGTGCAGGTTCTGTGGGACAGGCCGTGGCAGAGCTTCCACACGCTGTACTTTCTCGGCTGGCTTCTCCAGTGGGGGGCCGATGCGTTTGAATGTGTTCTCTGAAAGAAGATGGGATTCAGTGGAAACAAACACACAGAACTAACTCCAATACACTTCTGCCTGTGACTAGAGCACTGCATGCTACTATGACTGTCAGGGAATGGAAGCCTATAGGGACAGCCCAGCACAGGAGGGTTACTTCTGACCCTCAGCATACTCTCCTCTGGGCTCAGAAATGGTGGCTCTCAAGAGTAGGCTGGATGTCAAATTCCAGACAAAAGACACCCACTGCCTGTCAGAGCAAGATGCCAAAGGGCAAATCTATACTTTGCCAGTGGTTACTGGCATAGTCCATAGAGTGCAGTATGTTGTTTATCTAGCTTGGAACAGCCCATGTGAGATGTCCCTTCATAGCCCAGGGACTTGCTATCATTTCTTCCTAAAGCTCCACAGTGGTCCCTAGTCAGGCTTCTATTTGCCTCCAGTGCTCAAACATACTCTTGGGAGTGTCCAATCATGAGGGACCCATGGCTTTCACTGCTTTCCCATGGCTTGAGCTTTAACCTCTGAGGGAGAGCCTCCACCCAACCACCTCCAGCCCCATCTGTGCCTGGAAAGAATACTTGCCTCCATTCTTCCTTTTCTGTTCCTCTTCAGCCTCCTTTTGGATTTCCTCAATCAGCTTTTCATCATCTTCCTAGAATAAAAGCAACACCAAGGGGTGAGTCTGCAGCACCGTGTAGTAAGGTCATAGGGCAGAGGGCGGTGTCTGATTACAGTACTTTCCATCTCCTGCACCATCCTCCTTCACCAGTGGGTTAGCCGTCTAATAAGGAGGCCTGGGGGCTGTTGAGTGCAGTCTATGCTCTCAGCTGGTGACAAAAGGACTAAAAGCCTGAGGCATTTCTGCTCTCCATGCTACAGCTCTGGGCACAGCAGGCCTTTGGACCCACTTCTCTGAACACTGGCAAGCCTGTTGAGTAGAAGCTGCCTGTAATTATGAGTGGCTGGGTTTTTGCCATGTGCTATTCTTGTTATTTCCATGTGCTTGGAAGGAGACCTGACGTTAGTCAGCACCATTACCCATGCTTGCTTCATGTGTCAGGATAGGGTCATCCCATTCTTGAGTAGCCCACAAAGTGACTCTCTAGTTTACAATGGTACCAAAAGGCTTCACTGTTTTGAAAACCCTGACCAAGGGCTGGGTATTATGGCACATGCCTTTAATCTCTGCCCTTGGGAGGCAGACACAGAATGATCTCTTTGAGTTTGAGGCCAGCCTGATCTCCAGAGTTGAGTTCTCTCAAGAAACCAAAAGAAAATCCACTAAGATGGTGGACATCTTTTCGGGCCAGCTGGAGGTCTCAAGGGGTGGTGGCCCATCAGAAGCAGGGCATGGCACTGCAGCAGACAGTGCTGATTGGGAGCATGTAAAAGAGCTCATGAAGGGTTATAAACAGCCAAACATGGTGCATGCCTAGGATCTGAGCAACTGGAAAACAGGGCAAGAACGCTGTGAGCTCTAGGCTGGCCTGGGCTATCCAAGGATATACTAACCAGAGCTGAGTGTGGTGGTGCATGCCTGTAATCCTAGCACTTGCGGGGTAGGGGGTACAAGATTGGGAGTTTAAGGTCATCCTTAAACCTACATGGGGGATGAGGGCAAGATTCATTGCGCTAAGAGAATCTCTTGCAAACACTTGATTCTCTGCAGACCAGGTCACCAGCCTATCTTTGACAATGTTCTCTCAATTTTTAAAAAATTACAAGTATTAAGCTATACAGAGAAACCCTGTCTCGAAAAAACCAAAAAAAAAAAAAATTACAAGTATTTATGTATTGCATATGTGGAGTGTGTTATGTATATGTATGTTATGACACCTGTGTGGAGGTCAGAGGCCAGTTGGCAGAAGTTGGTTCTCTCCTTTTACCATGCATGTCCTCAGGTCTGGCAGCAGGCTCCTTTACCACCTGCATGATCTTGCTGGCTTTTTTTGAGACAAGGATCCTACTGTCGTCCATGCTGGCCTAAGCCACCTGAGTGCATATGCCACTAGGGTTCTCATGCTGATCTGATGACACCCAACCAAGTTCTGAGATGAAAAAGGCTACATACAGTCTGAAAGTGACAAAGACCACAGCCCTGGACCTCTTGTCATGGAAGTCTGTGCATCTACATTGCAGGTGAGAGTCTTAGGTCACAGCCAAGCAGTAATTACTGACTTCGCCACATGGCTATCATGTCCCCCAAGTCAGGAATTTCATTAGACAGATGTGTGTACCACATGCTGCTCTGTTGACACACTGTTGTTAAGTTCACTGCTGAATCTCAAACCCAGAAGACAGAGCCACCAGCTGGCATGCAGCATATTCCCTTGCCTGACAAAGGACTTTAGAATCTTAGACAGCTGCTGGAGCAGGTTCTGTGGAGCAGGTTCTGTGGTAACTTGGGTCACACTGTCGAATGCTCACATTTTCCAGGCCTAGTTGACAAGTGGTTGAAATGATCCAAATTAAGCTTTCCAAGACAGGGTTTGTCTGTGCAACAGCTCTGGCTGTCCCAGAACTCTCTCTGTAGACCAGGCTGGCCTCAATCTCACAGGAGATCCACCTGCCTTTGCCTCCTGAGTGCTGGGATTAAAGGAGTGCGCCACCACTGCTGGGGGAATTCTTACTGCATATCCCAGTGTGCCAACAAATATAGTCACAGCGGGCCAGGTATTCCACCAAGAATTTCAGGAATTGTAAAATACGGCTGGGGAGATGGCTCAGAGGTTAAGAGCACTGACTGCTCTTCCAGAGGTCCTGAGAGGCATACATGCAGGCAGAACACAGTACACATAAAAAGAAATTGTAAAATAATGCCACTGTCTGGGAGGAGTATTGTAAGCCCATATACATCTTCCAGGTGATATATAAAATTCTCTGTATGAAAACCCAAGATTGCCGGACAGTGGTGGTGCATGCCTTTAATCCCAGAACTCGGGAGGCAGAGGCAGGCAGATCTCTGTGAGTTCAAAAGAGGCCAACCTGGTCTACAAGAGCTAGTTCCAGGACAGCCTCCAAAGCCAGAGAAACCCTGTCTCGACACCCTCTCCCCCCCAAAAAGAAAACCCAAGTTTGCTGGGCGGTGGTGGCATGAGCCTTTAATCCCAGTACTAGGGAGGCAGAGCCGGGTGAATTTCTGTGAGTTTGAGGCTACCCTGGCCTACACAGAGAGTTTCAGGATGGCTAGGACTACACAGAGAAATCCAGTTCCGAAAAAACAAACAAACAAACAAACAAACAAACAAATAAATAAATAAAAAAGCATTATCTGCTGGCTATAAGTTCTTTTTTTTCACTGTGGAGCTAGTGGCAGGCTTCTTAAGAAAGATTAAGCAAAGTGACACAGACAACTGGGAGGCTGAACAGGGCTCTCTACCACAGGCTAAGTAGCCCAGGCACATTCCTGCCAATTGAGTCTCAAGGCATTTCTCTGTAAGAGAGGCTGGTGAAGGGTTCAAATAGGAATACCTGTAAAGGACTCAGTGTAAGGCAAGTACTCATTTAGAAGGTAGGATGGACACTGACTTCAGGAACATTTAAAATGAGGTAGAGATTGGGACATGTCTTCATTACATGTTTCAGTGGGTCTTGAAAAAATGGTATTCTCTCTCACCCAGCAGAGACCCCAAATCCGGCATTCACAAGGTGAGGGTCATGCAGCCCCTACCTCTGAACAAGTGAGACTTGCCTCAAAGGTGGCTTTCGCGCTGGGAATTGAACCTGGGTCCTCTGGAAGAGCAATTATGTTTTCTTAACCACCAAGCCATCTCTCAAGTCCATAATTTATTTTATTTTTGAGACAGGGTCTCTCTCTAGGTGGCCCTGGCTGTTCTGGAACTTGTTATGCAGAACAGACTGGTCTCTGTCTCTTGAGTGCTAGGATTAAAGGTGTGAGCCATCATGCCCCAATTTTAAAGATTATTTTCATTTTATATGTATGAGTGTTTTGCCTGCATGAATATCTGTGTATCACATTTGTGCCTGAGGGGGTCAGAAGTGGGGGGGGCATTGGGTTCCCTGGGACTGTGAGCTGCCATGTGGGTGCTGGGAATTGAATCCAGGTCCTCTGGAACATCAGCCAGTGAGTGCTCTTAAACTCTAAGTCATCTCTAGCTCTCAGTGGCTTTTTTTCAAGGTCTCACTTTGTAAGCCCAGGCTTGCCTTGAATTCACCTGACTCAATCTGAGTGTTTTGGGATTATAACAATACGCTACCATACACAGCTCTGTTTGGTTTTACAGTTTGAGCAAGGTTTCCTGACTGACACTAACATAACTGTCAGTACTATTTCACGACACCTCATTCCACAACACTTCATCTCTCAACACCTAGATGGGGTTCTGCCTGCACTTCCTAGGGAGATAGCTAAGGCCTCTAAAATGGGTGCTGTCGCACACACATTAATTCTAGCACTGGGGAGGCGGAGGCAGAGGCAGGAGGATCTCTGAATTGGAGGCTAACCTGGTCTACAGAGTGAGTTCCAGACAACCAGAACTACACAGAGAAACCCTTGAAAACAACAACAACAAAAACAACCAAACCACCCCAAAACAAGAAATCACACATTCCAAGTCTTGTGTGATGGTTCATGCCCATAAACCCCAGCCTTTTGGAAATGGAGAAAGGATGATCAAAATTCAGAGTCACCTTCAGTTACAACAAAATCTGAGTCCAACACCTGTTTTTGTTTTTGTTTTTTTTTAAATTTGTCATTCCCCTCCCCAAGGTTTTAAAGGTGTTCTGCCTGCATGCCAGTAGAGGGCACCTGATCCCATTATAGATGGTTGTGAGCCACCATGTGAGTGCTGAGAATTGAACTCAGGACCTCTGGAAGAGCAGCCAGTGCTCTTAACCTCTGAGCTACCTCTTCAGTCTGTTTAAAAAAAAAAAAAAAAATCATTTATTCTAACTTCCTTAGAGCACAAAACTGAGGTCCAGAGAAAATGAATCCTTCATACTTGGCTGTGTGGAAGTGGACCAGAAAGAAGGCCTTTTTTTTTTTTTCTTTTTCAATACAGGGTTTCTCTGTGTAGTCCTGGAACTCACTCTGTAGACCAGGGTGGCTTTGAACCCAGAGATCTGCCCGCCTCTGCCTCCAGAGTGCTCAGATTAAGGTGTGTGCTAGGACATCCTGGCAAGAATGCCTTTCTTATCCCAGTGTCATTCAAATAGCTTTCTTGAAGAAAATTCAGTTAAGGAATGCTGCAGGTCCCTTTGTCTTGAAGGTTTACAGAGCTTAAAGGCAGGGTTATTTGCCTGCCTCCCTTTAGTTTGTTAACCAGTACTATGCAATATCATGAAAGGTGTAGGAAAGGTGAGGACAGAAGCAGTGTGGTCCCCTACAGGATCATCACACCTCACTCAGTCCTGAGCACAGGTAATAGCTAGCTCTTCACACACTTTTTTGCTATGAAATTTCAGAGCAGTTAAAGACTAGATGCTTCTGTCTCAGTTTTAATTAGCAAGAATATTACATCTGGCCTTCCAGATCCATGAATTTAACCAACTATGGTTGGAAACTATTTATAGCATCTGTTGAGATCAAGGCAGAGCCTGAACACTGTACTTCTGGCTTGGAAACCATGTTTCTGATCAATTGCTTATGCTTTGAGGTGGGACTGTCTAGACAGAACCTTGTGTCTGTCACCA